AGCCTCACAAATTCTTTAAGGAATAGAGAAGCACTCTTCTTTTTTGCTCCTCTATAATTCCAAAAAGCTAGTGAATACATTAAAGAATGATTGGGGATTGGCTCCCCAAGTTGCCTTTTGCTTCCAGTTCCGTTCTTCTGCTCCTCAACTTAGCACTGATAGGACCCAAGTCCTTTAATTGTTTAGACTTTTTCTTCTTTACTGTATTACATACCTCTTCATTATTCTGTAACAAAGGAGCAGTGATATTGCTTGGCTCGGAAATGAAATTATCTGGAGGTTCTTCTTGGACTTGATCTTCAGATTCAGGAACTATCTCTCCCTCTTCTGTTTGATTACTCAATAGGCTGAATCTGTTGTTTCTTGATTTATTCAACAAACTAAGGTAGCCTGAGGTTTTGATTCCAGATACAAAATCTTTCTTTGTTTGTTCTTCAACTATTTCTTCTTGATCATTGAGTTATGTCATTGGATCTTCAGCAACACCTTGAATAGAATCTAACTTCTCCTTATCAGCATTCTTATCAATGATTCATGAGACATAATTAGATTCCTTTTTCTTCCACAGAATTTTTTTAACTTTCTGTTGAGGCTGGTTTAGAACATGATTCTGATTTTGAGAATTGAATTTCTTCCTTCCTCTATTAACAATAAGCCATGGCCCATAACCCGTTTCTTCTGTAGTTTTTCTATAGCATCAATTTCTAAAACAGAATGATTTCCTGTTTTGATTTTCTCTCCCACCAATTCTTTACATTCTTCAATACTATGACCAATTAGACCACATTTGAAGCAGAAATTTGGCACTCGTTCATATTCAATCCTTTAGTAGAATCTTCCTGCTTTTTCTTCAACCCAAACACCAAGAGGAAGCTTGCTATCTAGTTGAATTCGGACACATACTCTTCCAAATTCCCTCCTCCCCCATTGGAACATGTTCCCATCTATCAAGTAAGGCTTGCCTACCATTGAGGCAATTCTACACAGATTAATGTTGTCCCAACAATGGAGTGGAAGATTAGGCAATCTAATCCAAATTGGAGCCGTCAATCCTTTCAAGGAGTTTGTAGAGAAATTTTGAGACCATTTGTCCATTCCAATGATTTTGCCATTGACAAACCATGGACCATTAGTCATCACTGCCTCCATGTGTTCGGGTTCATAAAATTAACATAACACCCATCCCATGCCTAGCATTGTCAAATGAAATTTTCCAAATTGCATCCATTGCCTCCTGAGCTCATTACTAATAATTCTTAATGGAGGGTCTCCTCCAAAAACCTTGATGACTATAGAGTTGCAGAGTTTGTCTACATTTTCTTTTTCATTTTCCTCATGTAATTTCACTGTCAAGCCATCTTCAGCAATAAAGTTTCCAAGTCTAAGATTAGAAACTTTAATATTTTCCTTTTTCTTCCAAGCATTTTTTGTTACCCCATCAAGTTCTTCAATTAAACTTGGAACAGCATCTCCACCGATTCTTTGATCAGCTGAATCTACCTCTCTAACTTTAAATAAATTAGAGAATAATATTTTATATGGTTCACAATTCACTTACTGTACATCTGAGCTCTTTTTCACTTCAATTTCTTTGTTGATGGCACAATTAGAACTACCAGAACAATTACGATCTGACATCTTCATCTCCTTGACATTCATTATTCCATTAGAAGAGGGGCTCTTAATAATCTTAGATTTTAAAGATGGTGATGCATCTGAGCCTTCGTAAGGATTTAGAACAATCCTATTTTTAAGAATTTTCTTCATATCTTCTTCAACCATTATGCTTTTACCTTTCCCTAAGATCTCCGGTTCTATCCTTGTTGTTACGCCTCCTTCAATGATAACAATTCCTTTGTTGCTTAAAGATTTATTAATCAAACCAAATCCAGTTTTACCATTGCCAAAGGCCGGAGGGGAGAGCATTTGACGGGATGAACCATTCAAGTTATTCGTCACTGAATAAAAATCTTTCAAAACTTCTCCGGCAAATAGTCGGTGGCGAACGCCCGCCGCCATCGAAATCCGAAAATCCCGCGAACTGAAATTTTTGAAATCTCATGAAAAAACCAAACTGTTTTCTCAGAGTTTCTCTCACTACTTTCTCTCACATGCTAACCCTATAGGGGATTGAATTAATCAAAGTATTAATAGACCTACTATCCAAGCTAATAATTTTAAATTAAAATTTGTCAAAATTAAGATGATTAAATTTCTCAATTTATGCGAACTCATTTTGAAGATCACAATTGAAAATTTGCTAGTTTCTTAGAAATATGTGTAATTTTTTTGTATAATGGAGTCAATGATAATACTACTAAACTTATATTATTTCTATTTTCTCTGAGAGTCAAAATAAAGATGAGATTAAATTCTTTATCCCCAAGTCCTATAACCACTTAGAATGAGTTAGCTCCTAAATTTCTTACTAAGTATTTCTTACCTTCAAAACTATCAAACTTAGAAATGATATCACCTCTTTTAGCTTGTTTGAAGGATAACCAATTTATGAGAGTTTGGAGACATTAAAAAAATATTTAGGAAATGCCCTCATATACTTTATCTGATTGGTTAGTTATTAAAACTTTTATAATGGATTAGCATAATCTCTTTGAGTAATCATAGATGCTGTAATTGGATGATCATTAATGTCTGAGCCATTTGAGGAAGCATATAAATTAATAGTAAAAATTACTACTAATAATTTTTAATGGTTTGCTAATAGGATAAATCCTAAGAAAGTAGCAAGATTTTATGAATTGGATGCTTTGTCAATTACTACTTCACAAGTTGTATTAATTTCTAAGAAGTTAAATAGAATATGACTAAATTCTGGAGTAGGGTCTAGAACATATATTTAATTGGAGGATCAATATTTGAATGGAGATAGTACTGTGCAAAGGATTTAAAATGTTAATTTTATTAGAAGATAAATTAATCTCTACCCAAATACATATAATCCAAGTTGGAGGAACCATCCTAATTTTAAATGGACAAATAATATTGGTGATAACAATCAGTTTTCAAATAGAAATTCACCTTTGGAGTAGATAGTGATATAGTTAGGGACTCAATTGTAAGGTCAAGCTACCTCTATTAAAAATTTTCAAACTCAATTAAGTTATGTTGCAATTTTTATTCGTAGTATACCTCTTGGATCGTTTCATAATAATACTTAAGTTAACCCAAAGGAAAAATAAAAGATCCTAATGGAAATCAATTCAGGAATGATTGTAATGTACCCCAATTAAATTCATAGGCAAGTCTGGCTGAAGACTATAAACTTTAGACCTGTGTGGGAGGCAAACCAACTTTTGATGTAGTAGTGCTTTGTAGATTCATTCTAGCATCTTTTATCATTAGTTAGTTTTCTTACAAAAAAAGTTTCATAGCGCTGATAGTAGTGTCGTAGTGTTTGGTTGTGCCTCCATATTTTTAATTCAAATTTTGGCACTATGGCGCACATGTAAGTTATTAAAAGGATAGGTTTGTTATTTGATTTTCTATCTGAAATAGTACATCTTAAAGTGTTGTTAAGTACTCTTCTTTATTCTCTTGAAAGTTGATGTTCAAGGATGTGCTGAAAGTAGATTCATGTTAAAAAAATTTCATCATCAAAGTTGATGTTCAAGGAGCTCAAATAACTTGTAATGAAGTTGAATTTGTTGATGTGTCCAATAACAAAGGCTTCATCACTACTAATAAATTAGGCTTTCGCAACAGTTTTTTGGACCTACGGCAGTCGTTTAAACACATACTAATTTATTTGCATCAGTTTAGAAACTGCTACATATCCATTGTATTTTCTTTCACTGGAAAGGCTTTAGCACCGGTTTTATGAGTGCTGCTATAGGTTGGCTTTAGCAGGGCTTTTTAGCAAGTATTAAAACCGCTGCAAAAGGGTATAATAAATAAAAAAAGTATAATGCCAAAAAAAATAAATTTTATGATCAAATTATAAATATCAATAAAATACTATACAAATATAAATTAATTGTGTTATTTAATGGTTTAGTAATTATGTTATTTAAACTGTAGTTGTTATGTGCCATGATGTTTCCAAACAAAACAATCAATAAACAAAGATGAAAAAATGGGAATAGAGCAAGCATATACGATCAATAGAATTTATGAGCACAAATCCCTTTCCAATTCATCTTGTTAAGTTATTGTTGTATACCAGAAATCAGAAATATGCATATATTAGCTTTGGAAAGTGCAGATGTTGAATTTCATCATGTCTTGGCTATGAAACTGGAGTACTTTGTTCTCTTGACTGAGGAAGAATGCTATCTACCTATCCCTCTTGTTCAACCCAATGATGCAATTGTTCTTCAAATAGAGTGTGATCTTCACTATCTTCATCTTCTCCTTCTTTATCTTCTTCCCAACTATAGCTTCTTCTCTTCAACCTGAAGAATGAACCATCTCATTAGTTCATGAAATTTTCATCAACTAAAACTTGAAAATTTTAGAAAATAAGCATGATGTAGAAAAATACATAAATAAAGACAAGCTAAAAATCTAGAAATAAAACACATAGTACAACATGATAACTTGATGACAAAACCAGCAGCATGTAGCATGTTCGATTTCATAATAAAATTAGCAGCAAAAATTATAGCTAACCAATTATAAAAAAATCATAGAACAACAAATCAGATAATGCATAATAAAGTGTGGAATAAGTTGATACCAAAAATTCACAGGTAGTAGTTATGCAAAATGACCTTTCAAGGGAGCAATACAAATCCACATAATTTTTGAAAAAAACTGCTCTTTAAATTTTTCCAAAGGTAGTAGTTATTCTATCAATATTGCAACAGGATCTCCTTGCATTTTTTTATTTCCATAGGTAGACAAAAACTGCTCTTTCACTTTTTTTTAGCCACCCATAACAGCCATGATTATTACAATTAATAGTGATAGAATCAACATCATTTATAACAATCTCCAAAATCATTGTTCCGTAGAAAAACAGAGAATAGACAGCTACAAGAGCACTAGAAATGCAGTAGATAAGATCCAAATACATTGCACAGAAGAAACCATGTTCAATGAAACTTAAAATATAGACCTTGACAAGTAAATTTGTGCAGTATTGATATTCCAGCAAGCTTCATACTAGAAAATTTTAGGTAGCAACCAAAATCTCAAAGAAAAACATATGCCTAACTGTGAGTTCTGAAGATCAAATTTGTTAAATCCTAGTTGTTATTCAGAAGATTTAAGCTTGCAGAATCTTTTTTCTCATATGAACAAATAACGAATAATCAGAGCATGATTTTCTTGCACTTCATATTTCATTAAAAAGAAACTTTATGAATTGCTTCTCTGAAATTCTCAAACCAACTAGAAAATGAGTGATGCCAAAAGGAAAACTCCATAATTTTGGAAGTGATACGTTATCTCAAAATTATCTAGGTCGGGCACGAATCTCGAGGCAAAAGCTAGTTGGAAACTTCAAAAATTAACTTCGGGAGCATATGAACTCCGATTTCAGCGAGCTTACAGTCAAACTGAGCGTCTCAGAAATATGAACCCAACGACACCACGATCAACCCAATCCGATCCCAAATGAGTTTGAATCAAGGGCTCAAAACGCTGTTGGAAGGTTCAACCCACAATTTGAGTTACCAAACGGTCTCCGATTTTAACGAGCTTATACTCGAATCGAACGGCTCGACGAGACAAATCCAACGAGCCCAAGATCGCCAAATTCCGACATCATTTAGGCCTTCAAATGCCCAACGAACGGTGCATTATCAAAGGATTCAATATCGGCCGTCCATTCAAAACACTCCCAATTCGCCCCTGATCTCACGCCTATTTATGGGCTATGCCACTCCAGAAAAACTATAAATAGAGCCCTCATTCTACACCAAGAAGACTCAAGTGAAGAGGGAGAAGAAGAAGAGAAGGAGAAGGAGAAAGGGGAAAAGGAGATTCCTCACCTCCTCGACCACGCCGTCGGAGCGGGTGCGCGGTTCGGCCGCAGGCGCGCACGGTCGCCGGCGACGGTGGCGGCGGTGCCTGCGGCCGGGTCCGGCCGGTTTTGGCCCGCCTAGCCGTTTCGGGTCCGTTTTCTCGCCCGACAAGTCCAAATTCGACGTTTTTGGGGTCCCCGGACACGTTTTTCGACGTCCCGGACTCAATTTCGACACTCTCAGGACCATTCGAGGCCCCCACATGCAAGAATAATTCCGACTCGCTCTGGAAAATTCTTTAAAAGTTGGTAACGCATATTTTCGGACTCCTGGAGCTTTAATGTCCGAAAATAGGGGGGCAACTGATACGTTATCTCAAAATTATCTTGGTCGGCACGAATCTCGAGCAAAAGTAGTTGGAAACTTCAAAAATTAATTTCGGGAGCATATGAACTTTAATTTCAGCGAGCTTATATTCAAACTGAGCGTCTTGGAAATACGAACCCAACGACACCAAGATCAACCCAATCCGAGCCCAATGAGTCCGAATCAAGGGCTCAAAGCGCTGTTGGAAGGTTCAACCACAATTTTGAGTTTACCAAACGGTCTCTGATTTTCAACGAGTTATCGAATCGATGGCTCAATGAGGACGAATCCACGAGCCAAGATGCCAAATTCCGACATCATTAAGGCTTTTCAAATGCCCAACGAATGGTGCATAATCAAAGGATTCAATATCGGCGTCCATTCAAAACACTCCAATTCGCCCCTGATCTTCGACGCTATTTTACGGGCTGTGCCACTCCAGAAAAACTATAAATAGAGCCCTCATTCTACACCAAAGGGACTCAAGTGAAGAGAGAGAAGAAGGAGAGAAGGAGAAGGAGAAAGGGGAAAAGGAGATTCCTGACCTCCTCGACCACCGCCGCTGGAGCCTTCCTGCAGCCTGAAGACGCCGGAACTCTGCTGAATTTTCAGGAAACGCCAGGAATTCGCAGAATTTTGTAAATTTCGTGGAAGAAACAAATTGTACTTGGATTATCTCAACTTGTGGGACGAAATCCGTCATTTGTAATCTACGAAAACACTAGTGGAATTTTGCAACTGGGCAAGGCCCCGTGGTTTTTTTCCCTTTTTGGGTTTTCCACGTAAAAACTCTTGGTGTTCACTTCTCTTTTCTATTTGTGTGTTTAACTTACGTGCAACGCTCGGACGCAAATTTACAAACTCTACCGTCGCGTATTTTCTAACACGCAACAGGAAGTGAATGTGTGCTTCGAACCAAATAATCTTCTCAGCAAATCATGATGATGGTCACATTTTCAAATTTTTTTTAAAAAATCTTTCTAATTTGCCATTAAGACACCAAATAGTTGTCATTATTCATTAATTATAGTCATTCAGAGAATCTCTTATTAAATAAATAGGCTCAATGGGTGGGTTAACAATCACAATTTGAATATGAAAATAGTTGGAAATGTTTTGCCATTCTATATAATTCAACTTCTATCCTAGAAGGAAGCATTTTGAAACAAATAACTTGTGATAAGTGAAGTATTTTAGGAAAACGGGAGCCACTTGAGCCATTGTTTGTTACAGGATCAAAATTAACTACAATAATGCACTTCGCTACATTCGGTTGTCACTAAAAATACCATTCCATCTCATCATTCCTTAATCAGACTACTTTTCACTAAACAAAGGTGGAATTATCACAGTAAGTTAAAGGAATTTCTATCACAACGAAGCCTTTTTTTAAAATATACCATCACTGAAGAAAAAGCTGAAAGAGAATAAAAAAAGTTGGGAAATTTGATTTGAAGAAAAATTAACTAACTCCACACAAATAAATTTGTCTGATCCTTTTTCCATTGCTGATTTATTGTTTAACGGGCAAAAAGAAGAACAACTCCAGCATGGAGAACCATAGCCTGGGAGGGCACGCTGGGCCAAGAGTAGGATCCAACATCCCCGACGAACTGTAGCGTCCAAGATGGCATCTCACCAGTGAAGTCATCCAGCGTTAGCTTAGCGAATAGGTTAATAGTGAAAAGGTAAGATAGGGTTCGGAGAAAGAAGAAGATGGGGGATATTACCCCAGTGATGGCGGCAGCCGTGTTTTTCAGCGGTAGAGGTTTCGAGAAATGAAAGCAGGCATAAAAGGTGGGCAACGAGGAGAACCGGAGTCGCGAAGCCAGGCTTTGAAGGCGGGCTCCGATATTCCTAGGGTGAAGATGAAGCGCTAAAGAATGTTCGGCTAGGGCTGGAATAGAAAAAATATATTGATTTTTATCATAAGTAAAAACTGCTGGTAATAAGTGCTGCAAAAATACTGTATTTTTTGAGTTGTAATTGTAGCTGTTTAAACCACTGCGATAGTTAATATATAGCAGTGGTTTTAAAACTGCTCCTATTTAACATTGCGGTTATCCCCTAATTTTAGTAGTGCATCAAATATATTGAGATTGAAACTTTTACACATAAGATGTACCTTATTAACATCAAAAGGCTTCTCATATATTTTTGATAATGCCTTTATTAGACATGTTGTGATATTTTCATTGAGAATGTTGAATGTGGCATTCATGATCAATGAAAGTAGAATAACTCCCAATGCTAGTATACCCATCAACTTTAACTCATCCTGATAAAGTGTAAAAATTATTAATCCATTCAATGGCTAATGAAGCTTTCTTTGATAAAGAAAACTTCCTATTTGTATTTTTCAATAGCCGAAATCTTGGACATCAAATTTATCGATCATGATCTTTTCATCATCTGTTGCTCAATTTCTTGTGTAGCTCAATTGAAACATTTGATACCAATTCTTAACATATAGATAATATATTGAGATAAATTGAATGAAGGCAAAGAATGAACACATCACATATCAAAATCATAAGACATAAATTTATGTGATTTAATGATATATATTCACCTGCATATGCAGCCACACAGAGATTAAATATTCTACTAAACTTTAAATGACAAGTACACCAAAGGTCTTTTTTTTCTAGTATGTACAAAGTAATAATTGAAAAACCACGTACTTTTTCCATGTGAATGATTGCCACCTATTGTGAGAAGATAGCTGAATATTGAGAAGAAATAGCTATTATTACCATCTTCTTATATCGACTACGAGTTTTTTCCTCTCCTCTCTACTCTATTTCAAAAGCTACACTTTACTATGGCTTAAAGCATAAGCTTCTCTCCCCTTCCTCTCTATCTTATTTTATTAGCTTGTGGTTGTCATATTGCCTTAACACAATGGAATAAAATCTATTTTTTTTTAAGAGATGCATATAGCATTTGAAAATAAAATCTCCTTACATAGAGCTTAGATGTGAAAGGTGGCTAGCTTGAATTTATTATATAGATGGTGCATGATAGGAACTAGAACGTAGTTTCGGTAGTGAAGAAATTTATATTAAATAGATAAAAAAATTTATCTTCATATGTTAATAGAAGTGAAGCTTGTTGAACATTTAATTTATTCCTACCATGTATCTCGAACATTTCACTTTCACCAGTTCTGCTAACTTCTTGCTTCTTGCATCCTAAGAGATCAAAATAATATATGATAAACTTGATCCAACATTAAACAGACCGGATAGGCTAAACAAAGAATACCGTTGTAATAAAGCGAGGAAGAAAAAGGTCAAGCTAAGGCAGAAAAAAAAAAAAAACAACCGTCTTCACATGTTATAATTAGGTGATCTACTTTATTTTCCATATCCTCAGTGATAGCAGCCTGCATGGATTCCTTCTGCTTCACAGTCATCAGATACTGAAGAATTCAGACAACAGTGTTCATCACCAGTACAAAAAATGCTCGATCTCATCCATCTGAGAGCTCTTTCCAGCATCGCTGTACAGCACACCTTTTTTGACATCTGCTTCTCAACGTTCTCTGCACTAGATCTCCATGGCTTTCCTCTCACCATTCTTCTGCTACTATTACTGGATATTTTCAGCATCAGTTTCTCAGCTGGAGATGAAATGACTCTGTAGCTGGTGTCGCTTCCTTTGTGCAGTTCGTTGCTTAGCTGAGAACCAGTAAGCGTCTGTTTAGAAGCAGTTTGTTATCTCAGGACAAAATGATGTAATACAGCTCTGAAAGTTTTATCAGATGCTCTTAATGATTTTCAAGACTGTTTAAAATATGTGCATTAAATACTAAGCAAAATTTTATTTTTTATTTTGATGTTCTGTACATTTTTATTTAGCTAATTAACTACATGTTTATTGTCAGGAACCTGGCGGATTTTTGTCTCGAGCAACCGGAGGCGGTCCATGAGCGTGTGCTTTACGTGAGCGTCTTCCATGGTGGAAGTTTGGGGCTTGTTCCTAGCCCTAAGGTCTCCGGAGAAACAGCTCTCTTGGGGCCTCACTTTTTCCTCCAGCTGCCTCAGCTGCATCAGTGCAAGCAGCAGAGCAAATATCTTGAGTTAGAGTGAGCAAAACAACAAAACAATGAAATATTGGAAGTAAAAAAAAAAAAAATGAAATATTGAAGTGATAAAAATTTATCTAGGTTTTGTTTGGGACTGCTTTCTTACTATTTTTTAAAGTAGTTTTAAAATACAAAAATTAAAAAAAATTTATTAAAAAACTGCTTTAAAAAAGCAGTTTGAAAGTCGTCACAAAAGAAAAGTCTAAAAATTGCTTAAAATAAAATTAGCTTATTGGCACATAGATCGGCCACCTTGTTACAGTCCCTAGTAGTATGTAAAAAAATTAACTTATTGAACTCAAAAAGGAATGTGATGTTCTTGGAAATCCGGCTATTGAGCTTGGGTTCCCTCATGGAATCATTAAGGAACTTGATAACATTGTAGTTATCTCCCTCAATTATTAACCCTTTACATTTAAACATCTAATCAGCAACATAATCTTTGATTGAGTAGATGGCTTTAAGCTCGAGCTGGTTGATGTCCCAATGTATATAATTTTTACCTAAAGCAAGGAGCGGCTTTCCCAAACAATCTCGAACAATGCCTCCAATACTAGCCAAATTTGAATCAAGCAATGAAGCATCCACGTTGATCTTAATCCAATCCGGAGGTGGGGGATGCCATATAGTTTTAAACTCTCTAAGGAGAGAGACATCCCAGTTGACCGGCATTGAATTCCTTTTTATGGCAGTAAAGAGCACATTTGATGCAGTCACCGAATTTGGGAGTAGCTGACCACTGTGTTTAAGTTTGTTTCTGCAGATCCAAAAGTAATAGATAGTGGTGCAATAAATCTTGACAATATCAAGGCTGCTGTGTGCTAAACGTCTTAGATTATGGAGGCAATCCGGCAATGAGCTGAAAGTGGGAATGTTGATTCCCCAAGTTCTCAGCATATGAATAATGTCTTTGAGATATTTACAATGAACCACAATATGTGCACTGTTTTCAATTTCAGAGCACCCTTTAGAACACAAGCCATTATTACCGATTCTTCTATATATTAAGAACTCATTAGTGGGTATGGAAAACTTACCCAACCTCCACCAAAAGAGCTCAACTCTCGGGTTGAGATGCAATTTTCGGATCCAAGCAAAGTAATCAAACTCATCAACAGGAATAATAGATTTGATTGATTCCGCATAGGCCAATGAAGAAATTGATTTCCCAGAATGTTGATAAAGCAATTCCATACGGTCTTCAGTGCCAATATGAATTTTACAGTTTTTGATTATAAGTTGGGTTAAACTGCTATCAAAGTACTGATTAAGTTCCAATAAGTTCCAGCTGCCATTATCAAGAATAAAATTGTTTAGCTTCATATTCTCAAGATTGTCACAATCAGCAAGTGTTGGCCACTTGTTGAAACACTTGTCAAGCATCCAAATGTCATTCATGACATTAATGCTAATGCCGTTGCCAATCCTCCATTTAACAATAGGTATAAGAAAAGAAGTTCCATTTAAGATAATAGTTTTAGCTGCAGACTGGCCACCCTTCGGTTTGTCATTCCAGGAATCCGGACCGTATTTGGCAATTAAGCACTGATGAAGCAAAGATGATGAGTTTTGTAGGAATCTCCAGGCAACCCGAGCTCTGAGAGGACCAACTTGCTTAACAGCATAAATTAATCCAAGGCCATCGAGAGTTCTAGGAAGGCAGAGCTCATCCCAGGCAACATAGTGTAAACCATTGGTCTTCACATCATGATCCCAAATAAAGCTTCTACAAATGCAATCAAGTTCTTGTAGAATTTTCTTGGGAATCAGAGAATGAGGAGAGATAAAAGTAGATAAAGAGAGAAGATAAGACTTAACTAGAATCATCCTTCCCGCCATAGAGAGAGATTTAACACTCCAAGCATTTAACTTTTCCAGTGCATGATTGATGACAAATTGGAAGTCCTGTTTTACCAATCGCCTAAGAGCAATTCTAGTGCCCAAATACTAAAATTCATCAACTATTTTGAGGTTAAAAATGTTG